ACTGAAGTTATTCAGAAGTTAAATGAATTTTTGAAGGTCAAGCAAAGAGCAAGGGTGTCTCCTGTCTGCCCCACTCATTTGCTTTTCACTAAATTGCCTTGCCTGAAGGACTATTTGAGCTTCCTAGTAAAAAGTTGAAAGGCATTTCATAATTTTTTCTTCAGTAAGTTTTCTCTTATTGAGATATTTTATTGCACTATCATTACAAAGAAAATAAGGAAATAAAAATACATCTCATCCCACTCACCCAATTTATTTTTGTCAGTGATCTTCTATGCTGATATAAAGTTTTTAAAATGAGATCATATCACATTAATTGCTGTATCCAATAAATGTTGAGTGATTATTGTACCACCTGTAGGAATGACTGTAAAAGAATTTTGCCCCTTCCTTATGTATATGTCTGCCTTCGATCATTTATTTATCACATTTCTTGTCTTATGAATTAGGTTTTAGCTGTTGGGGGATAGAATCCATATCTGCCCTACTTTTATTTTAAATCTCCTCAGCACTTTGCACCATGAACCGAACTGAAGAACATGCTCAATAAACATTTACTTAATGAATGAATGATTACTTCCGCTGAGGAAAACGAAACATGAACACATTGGTGACAATGGATCAATTTTCTGCTTGCCTTCTCTCTCTCTTCCTTTTGTTTGAGTTCCCTGAAGTCCCTTGCTGAGTCTTCTTTCAGTAGCATAGATGGTCATTGAAAGCTTAACTTTAAGTCCTGGTCTCACACTTCTAGTGTCTCTCTTGTGGCTTCCTGTTTCCACACAAGTACTCTATAAATGTTTGTAGAATGAAGGGAGCAAGCAAGGAAGGAAGGAGGGGAGAAAGAGTAGCTAATGATATGCTTAACAATTGTTGCTTGTTTTCTGAGGGCTGGGAACTGCTTTAAATGTCTTATTTGGATGAAGTCATTCACTCGCCTCAACAATCCTACTAAGTAGATCCAATCAGTGGCCCCAATTAACAAAACCAAAACACAGAGAGAATAAGTAATTTGTCCAAGTTCACTTAACTAGGTGGTAAAGGCAGAATTGAAACCCAGTGTTTTGTTTTGTTGTTTTTTTTCATCACTGCATTATATTGTGTCTTGATATAGCCACCTGGAGTTTCAGTACAGCACAGGATAAAAGAGGGAAGGAAGGAAACAATGGTCACTAACAGAGCATCAGTGACAACCAACATATTATAGTGGAAGAAGCCCTAGAGAAAGAGCCAAAAATCCTATGTCCCAGTAATAATGTTTTCGTATTCAGTTAACATCATCTAATGTCTCTGGACTTACTCTTCTAATCTACTAAATGGGTATAATTGTCCTAGACCTGCCTTGCTCAGAGTCATAAATTTATGGAAACACATTTTGAAATTAAGTTTATAATGTGCTATGACTATGTAAGCGAAGTATTTTAACAGCTCTTATATACATGGCACAGCATATTTTACCTGTTATTCTCAACAAATCTTCATATAACAAATATAACTAATTCAACTGAATACAGGCACAAGACAGGCATTATTAGACTTTGTATAGATTCTGTGCAAATGTACCTTGATAAAAACAGTTTTAATATTATCAGAGGCTTTTTATATCAAGTTTTATGATGGCGCTAGTTGGAGTCTCCCTTGAATATTGGGCATATCGAGCATTATCCAATGAACTCACGGTACAAGGTGGAGGAAATGGTTGGTGGTGGTGCTGGGGTAAATATATAATGAGAGAAAAGAGCTCCACCTGCTGATCAGCATTGCCACTTCCTACCACACCCTTGGAAGTCAGCCTCATACACAGTGGATCATAGCCTGTGGAAAACAGGCTTTGGAAAATAACGTTAGGAACATAATTACCATCACCACATACACGCAAATGCACAAAGCCTACCACTTACTAAGGACTTATTTTTTCCCAGGAGATTGAAAATTATTGCTATTAATCCTAATAACACCCCCAACAGTAGTGATTCAGAGCAGAGCCTGAATCCGGGCCACCTGGCTCAAAGCCTGAATCTTCCATTTTCTAGGTGTGGCCGTGGGCAATAAATTTCCCTGGGCCTTCATTTTTCCATCTGTAAACAGGGTTTATAATAACTTCTACTTCATTGGGTTGTTACAACAATTCAATGAATCAATGTTTGTAAAGAATTTAGAAAAATTCTTGGTGTATAATAAGCATTTGTGAGATAGATTTTTTAAAAAGGAAAAGAAGCTGAAATTTACAAAAGTTTATCACAGAACTCTTAAAGTGGCAAAGTCAGGAGTTGAACACAGACTGTCTGACTCCAATGCCGATGCCCTTAAGTAAGCGCCAAGCTATGTAGCTTCCCAGTACATTACTCTGATGAAATACAACCTAAAGGAACTAAGGACATGTGATTGAGTTAGTAACAGGAATGATGATTTGCTATTTGAATTACATCGTTTAGCTCTTTCCATGATTTTAATTCTTATCTTGGATTCCTAATCATTGTCTCCCCAATCCCTTAGCTTCAGCCAATTGTTGCTACAAGAATTTTCACAAAACATAGCCATAATGACTCCAGATGATGGCAATCATGAGACACTTCTCTTTTGACTTTTCTTATCATTTTGATGGATAAGCACCTGCTTGCAAATTTCTCATTTCAAGGTTCTGTCTCAACTGGATTGTTAAAATCACGAATCCAACTCCTGACATAAAGGGATGTAGTAGTGATAATCTGTTCACTATGTTGAAGCTGCTTATGGGAATGTTGATGGTTCAGAGAAATCATTAAGAAAAGACTCCGTGTTTAACATAGTGTCCAATTGGCTCCAACTGCTGAGGCAATGACTTTAGACTCATTGGAGAAATTTGAAATTTGGGTTGAAGGGTGGGACATCCTGCTTTGAGTTGACTGATGATTCCTATCTGAGAAAAGCAGAGAGTCTAAAGGTAAGAGGAAATATTGGAAAGTTGTGAGCATCTGTAACCCCAAACTGAAGCTGAAGATGAGACAAAGCCATAGAGAGCCATCTGCATATGTGAACATATTACAAAATGTCACAATTTAATGATATGGGAAGTGGAATAAAATATTTATTTGGAGAAATGATTGGAAATTTATGACACCATTTTAAGTTTAATTGGATCTGTCTGTATTTTACATGGAATTTAAAAAATTTGTTAGGCACCCAAAAAGAAACAAAGACAATTAAAGTGTTGGGAAATAGAATAGATGAAGAAAAGTTACAGGGCTGTGGTAAATATAATTTGAAAAGAAAGCAATTAGGAATAACTCAAGTGTTTTCAAGTCTATGGAATGTGATTTATTAAAGAACCTAGTGTCTGTTCTCTATTTCCGTAGAGATCAGAAATAGAAATGGAGTTAAGTTACCACAAGAAAGTTTATGTTTACACACAAGAAAAAACTTCTTAATTAAACTCTAGAACTTACTAGGGAGGGAAATTGTGGGTCTTTGCTCCAGGAAATCTTTAAGAATAGAAGAGGTAAGCCCTGGGTAATCTGATGTGGTGTTGGGTTAAAGCAGAAGGCTTAACTGGAATTCTTTAGGTCTCATCTAGTACTTAGATGCCATGATTGCATAAATAAAAATTTGTCCACAAAGGAGGAAGGAATCAGACAGAACACCAGGCATGGCTTATTTAGCAATGAGTTGCTGTTTCTGAGGGAAGATTTCTGGAAATCTGTTTTGAAGCAGAGTTACAATGTCATAGCCAAAACCTTGTGAACAACTTAGAAGGTCTCAGTCAGACATTCACTTTTTTTTTTAGCCTTACTGCTAGAGTCAACTTAAGTAACACAGCATATATTTATAATTTTCCTTTTGTGGGGGAATTTATGACTATATTGAGAGTCCCTGTGTATCTACAAAATAATTCATGTATAATAGAATGTTTTAGATGAATTCGTATAAGATGGCTACAATCTAGGCAGTTGCTTTTTGGTAGTTTTCTGATGGTTGTTTTTAAGTGGAAATTAAAAGCTGACATCAGTGTGTGAGGGTGATGGTAAGGTATCCCCCAAAATTTTGAAAATAAGTTGGTCTTTTTTAAAACATTAACTTTTCTTGAAGTTGGAATTGCAAAATTCTTACACAATGGATATAATTAGCCATCTATATATGGTGAATGGAGAATTTGGGAAAAACTATCAATTCACCCTAAGTAAATGAAGGAAGAATATAAGAAGGAAAGACTGGAATGTGATTGTAACTTAATACTCTGCGGAAACTCAAACATTTGTTTCCTCTCCTGACTTGGAGGAAATATCTCTGATAAAAAGGCTCATCAACTACAGAGGCTCAGAAAGTGTTGAGAGTCACAGAAGCCAAAACTAGCAGGGGAAACTTGGCAAGACTCTCCTCTATTGGCTGAGGATGTCATACAATTTAAGATCAGCACAGTCCTCCTGTTCTGATTCCCTCTGTGCTCCTCACCACGCAGCTTTCAGATGATTTGCCTTTCCATGTGGCTTGATGGCGGGAGAAAGTGTACTGATCTTCCAACCTTCCTGACTGTTGAATTTGTTTTTATATTTTATTTTTTTTTATTTCAACAGCTTTTGGGGTACAAGTGGTTTTTGTTTACATGGATGAAATATATAGCGATAAATTCTGAGATTTTGGTGCACCCATCACCCGAGTAGTGTACACTGTATCTAATGTGCAGCTTTTTCAATCCCTGGCCCCTTCCCACTTCTGAGTCTCTAAAGTCCATTATATCCCTCTGTATGCCTTTGCGTACTCATAGCTTAGCTCCTACTTACAAGCGAGAGCATATGATTTTTGGTTTTCCACTCTAGTGTTACTTCACTTCAAATAATGGCCTTTAGCTCCCTCCAAGATGATCCAAAAACATTATTGCACTCCTTTTAATGACTGAGTAGTATTCCATGGTGTATAATACCACATTTTCTTTATCCAGTCATTAGTCAATGGACACATAAATTGGTTCCACATCTTTGTCATTGTGAATTGTGCTGTTACAAACATATGTGTGCAAGTGTCTTTTTCATATAATGACGTCTTTTTCTTTGGATACATACCCAGCAGTGGGATTGCTGGATCAAATGGTAGATCTACCTTTAGCTCTTCAAGGAATCTCCATACCTGACAGTTGAATTTCTCATAGTAAAATGATTCATAGATTTACATGAACTCAGTTCCTATGAGCTGAGTTCATGTAAATCCGCTCATGAGATATGGCTTGCCTATTGGTATGCTGGTATCAGGGGTCTGAATCTGTAGGTTTCATATCCTGGTGTTTTTTTTTTTAACAGTGATTGCAAACAAGGATTGTCTAAGCAGTCTCTCTCTCTCTGTATGTCTCATTGCTTGCCCTCCTCAAGCTGAAACAAAAATATTATTTTAAAATATTTTCCATTCAAGTAATGATTCTTCTCCAGCTCACACAGACGAGATCTCCCTCCCTTGCCCTAGAAGATGGAGATGATGACAGTGGGTTAAGCCTTTGTGGAAGGAGGCACTGAGAGGCTCTCAGGCTGTCCAGAAAGAATAGTTCTCCTGTGAGAACAGGGATGGGATTGATGACTCACAGGAGCACCGGCCGCATTTAACAGACACTTTGTACCTCAATCATTTTGAAATGTTAACAACTCCAATATTCATTTGGACATGTACTGGTAGTTTCCTGCATTGCTTTCCAGTGCGTCAATAGGAAGGCTTTGTCTAGGTGACTGCTAACAATACGGTTTCATACATCATAAAACTGTGTAGATAAATGTGTATTGGTTTTAGATAGTCATGGATTTCCTGACTCTTACACCAGCACTCTAGTGAATTTCACTACCATACTACCTCTGGTTGTGACCTTATCAGATTTCATGAGCTGAACAAGCTTTGGCTGGGACAGTTTGTGAGTGGCAATGACCCAAAGAAAACCAGGTGCTACAGGAAGTGGAATGTGTGATTCAGTCAGGTGCATTCTTTCTTATGATTCAGGCTGACCCACTAACTAATCATTGTGAGTGGGCACTCTGCTCTCAGGGGTGCTTGTGAATAAGACGTATAGTAAAGGTCTTAATCACTTTTGCTGACTGAAAAGCTTTCACAGAGATTGTTCTCTCTAAAGCCTTCAGAATTTCGAAATGGAGAAATCAGTTCTATTGTAGTAATAAAAGTTACTGGTAATCCCATTGTGGATATGGCATATACTCTATTTCCTACCTTTACTCAATATTGCAATGTGCAATATATTATTATGTACCCAAGGCATTTTGATCCAGAGTTACATTTGCATTTGGCAATGAGTGTATTTGTTCTTTTTTTTTTCCTTGAGTTTATTAGGTCTTTGAACTTTAAAGTAATATATAAGTAAAGTTATTTTTTTATTTCATTTATTTATGTTCTCTCTGCAGGACTTAATAAGGGCTAAAAAAATAGAAGCAATAAGTTAATAAATGAGAATACTGAGGCAAGAAGAAAATACAACTCAGAAAGTAAACATAAATGTTATCTATAGCATATATTATAGCTCATATATAAAAGATAGTTATAACAAAACCATCTTGCCTAATTCAGAGGAGAAAGTATCATTATTAAGCTCTCACTGTTGCCATGCGACAAATCTGATTGGCCTCTCAACTCTACCATTTATTAACTGTGTCACCTTGGGGATGTGTGGAAATGATAATAGGTATTATATCTACTCTCAAGGGTTATTAGTGAATATTAAAGGAGATTGATCTATGAAATGTATAGTGTGATGCCTGGTACATTGTAAGGTTTATCAAATGGCAACTATTTATATTATGGTAATGATCATTACATTAATTTCCATAAATTTGTGATAGAAGAGTCCCCAGTTGCCTTTGAAAAAAAAAGCTTTAATGCGACCCAGTTGCCTTTTAAAATACATACGTGTCCTTTTGAAGATCAGCGGGGGCATGACTTCAGCAGGCCTTGGAGCATATGACATTACTCATGTCCATTGTCTTTCCAAACCACAGAACAGAATTCCTCAGTGATGGCCTGATCTGCTTCAGGGTCCTGCTGTAGTTTAAGCCTCCCCCGCCTTCATCACTTCCAGCTTTTCAGGGGTGATATGTATGCCTCCTAACGGTTTTGATAGCCAATACAGGCATCAGTTAACAATATGTTTGTCCATTTTGTGAGCAATGTGAGTATGTAGGAACGTTTTCTGGTTCAGCTTCACTCGGAGGTAAGGAGGAGATCTACTTGTCTTGGCTGCTTCTTACTGCTCATGGCCTGGAGAAAATGGAATGTTCCCAGGGCTTTGACAAAGACCTTGGACAACCTGCAGGGTTCTTCACCTAATCCCTCAGTCTATTCTTCCTTCAGAGGAGCTGTTCCTGATTCACTGCCGCAGGCACAGCCACCTACAATGCTTACTTAGGTGAAACTTTGATCCTAAGATGCAAGAATCATCTTAATGATGCTGCAGCCGCCCTAGGCAGGATGGCTGCTCACTATGTATTTGGAAAAATAAAGATCTGCCAAGAAAGGTACATCTAGGGAGGCCAGGGGCTGGCTAGGGAAGGAAGAAGGGCCTTCACTGTCCTTTCTGTTGTTGTTTTTTGAGATGGAGTCTTACTGTGTCACCCAGGCTGGATGGAGTACAGCGGCACGATCTCAGCTCCCTGCAACCTCTGCTTCCTGGATTCAAGCGATTCTCTTGCTTCAGCCTCTCAAGTAGCTGGGACTACAGACGCATGCAACCACACCAGGCTACTTTTTGTATTTTTAGTAGAGATGGGGTTTCACCATGTTGGCCAGGCTGGTCTAGAAATACTGGCTTAAAGTGATCTGCCCGCATCAGCCTCCCAAAGTGCTGGGATTACAGGCATGAGCCACGGTGCCCAGCTTTCACTGTCCTTTGTAAAAATATTTCATTACCATAAGAAAAACATTAGTTATAAATACTATTTATTTATTGAGAACATCTACTATAAGCAAAAGAAATTATTCTTCAAAAGCATCTTTTTTTGGTAGCCCATATTTTTCCTTTTAACTTTTCTTCTTAAAATAATGTAGGTAAATTCAAAACTAGTAGAACTTTCCATCTGAAAATAGGTCAGATGAATAGGGGCGACAAGCTTAGTTCACATTTCTGAAATGAGCTCATCAAGTGGTCCTTTACATTTCCCCAGCATCTTTTGTGAACCTTTGCCCCAGATAGATATTCAATTAGGTAGAGTAGCTGAACTGCTCAAATAACATTTCTGAACTGGATTTGTTTGTCCTAGCAAAGCCTTACCTGAGTAAATTCAGATCTTACATTTCAAACTTTTCTATAGTTTCTAAACTTGTTCTCTTTCTCAAATTACTGAATATGATTACTTTTGGTGGACCCTGGAGTCAGGTTAGGTTCAAATCCTGGCTTAAACACTGACTAGTTGTATACTGTTAATCAGGTCATTGCATCTTTTTAATCAAAAATTTTCTCATCTGTAAACTGAGTATTAATAATAAGGTTGTGAAGATTAGCACATGTCAATTGCTTAATGCACTGCTTAGCATACAATTCATGTTAGCTACTACTGTTATTACAGTCATTATTTCAACACTAAATGATAGCTTCAGAAGTGATCAATTCAGAGGATATGAATGTACAATTTACAAAAGAAAAAAATTCAAGAGGCACATACATTTATGAAGAAATGTTTAAATATACTAAAAGTGAGATAATGCAAATTAAATGTTGATAGATAATTTTACTTATAGGATTGGGAAAAACTTTGACAATTTTCTCTTTTGGGAAAAGTACAAACAGGTGGCTACTCTGAGACCCAGGAGTCAACTTTAAATTGGTATAGGCTTTTGGTAATGCAATTCAGTATGTATCGTGTTTTAAAAGGTTTCACACTCTTTGACCTTATAATTGGATGGATCTTTTAAGGAGTCAGTGAGGCTGTCAAAGATTTTTATTAAACCACAATACATTAATAATAATAAAATGAAACTGATGTGTAAAAGTAGTTGAATGTTAAAATATAGCAAGGGATATTACAAAGTTTGAAAATAGTGTTCTTAAAGAACATTTAAGATTAGGAAAAAATACTTTTACATATTACAAAACTGAAATATTGTGTATGATTCCACTTTGTTAATTACATATGTATATAATATACACCTATCACTGATGTCTTTTAGACATCTTCACATGGATAGCCAATAATCATCTCAAACTTTACCTGTCTACATTCAGATTTTTAAATTTCTAGCCATAAATTGTTAAATCTGTTTCTCTTCTAGTCTTTCCCATCTCTACAAAGGGAAACTTCATCCCTCTAATTGCTCCAGTCAAATATCTGGGGGTCTGTTTTGATTTCTTTCTTTCCCTCATACCCGCATTCAATCCATTCACCTCTCCTTTCAAAGTATCCAGAATCTGACCCCTTTCCACAATCTCCAGCTTCTCTGGCTCCCGCCTCCATCACCTCCTGCCTAGGTGACTGCAGGGATCTCTTAACTGGGGTCTTTGCACCAGCCCTTCCTCCCTGCATTCTCTTCTCTCAGTACAACAGCCAGAGGCAGAGTGAGTTTTTAAAATACATCAAATCATGTCCCTCCTCTGTCCAAAGCCAGTTCTTTGTATTGGCCTGCAAAAGCCTTCCTGATCAACGTTCTGCCCTCTCTCTGAGCTCATTACCCACCACTCTTCTCAAACTTGGGTTTTGCAGGGTGGGATGGATCACACCTGTAATCCCAGCACTTTGGGAGGCTAGTAGGGTGGATAAACTGAAGCCAGGAGTTTGAGGCCAGCCTGGCCAACATGGTAAAACCCCATCTCTACTAAAAATACAACAATCAGCCAGGGTTGGTGGTGCACGCCTGTAATCCCAGCAACCTGGGAGGCTGAGGCAGAATTGCTTGAACCTGGGAGGTGGAGATTGCAGTGAGCCAACATTGCACCACTGCGCTCCAGCCTGGGCGACAGAGCAAGACTCCATCTTAAAACAAACAACCTTTCGGTTTCAGCCTTACTAGCTCTTTGTGTCCCTAATTCTCACCGAACTCCTTTTTCTTTTCACCTACAATTACCTCAGCCTGGAATGCTCCACATGGCGGGTGCTGTCACCTCCTGGAAGTCTCTGCCTAAGGGCCATCTCCTTGTGTGTTTCCCATGTTTAAAGACATCCCAGTCTCACCCCAGTATTTCCTCTCCTCCTTAGAAAGCGCCCCCACGCGTTTTTTTTTTTTAAATAGCACTTAGGAGCAAATGATTTGTTTATGCTTTCCTTATTCATCCTTTCTCTCCTCAGTAGAATGTAAGCCCTCTGAGCTGGGGATGTTTTCTTGATGCTCACTGTTGAATCTCTATGACTTAGAACAGTGCCTGGCTTATGTGTTGAATGAAAAAATACATATTTGTTGAATAAATAAACAAAATGGGTAAGCACATGATATATGTCTAAGTAAATTTAATGCTTTTTATTTTCATGTTTAAACTCTTCTGTACTTAAATTTTCTAAATTGACATTATTTTTCCATCTTTATTATCAGGAAAAAACCCACAATTAATGTTATTTTTTAAAACGTTTAACTTGGTAATTACCAGTATTTATGGGCTAAGTAAATGTATGCATCTTCCAGTCATTTTTGTGTTTTGGATAGCTCACTATGAGGGATAAATCATCTTGAAAAAGAACGAAGTTGTTTGCTTTTCTGTAATTCTCATTTCCTCTTTTTCATAACTATTGAAAATATCATATTTTCTGCATTTTCTAACTCTGAATCAGTATTAGGCTGCTGGGCCAGCTCCTTGCCCACTCTTTCAACATCTTATTACTACTACTATTGCTACTACTTCAATTATTTTGCAAGTAGTGGCCTTTTTCTATCTTATCTCTCCATTTCTTCCCAGTACATCAAATCTATGTATGTGCATCTGTGTACATTGGAAGAGCACTAGTATCTGTAGGCCAGCCCACTTTCTGGGAACCTGACCAAGTCATCTTGCATGTACTACATCTATTCATCCTCAGAGTAGCCCTCTTTAGCAGCTGTTATTACTCCATATGACAATGGGAAAACTGAGGCTGGGAGCTTGAGAAACTCGTCAGAAGGCACACAGCTAGGAAGTGGCAGAGAGCAAATGTCTGACTCCAAAGTCCATACTCTTTCTACTTTTCATAATGGTTGCCTCCCAACTCTAAAATTTGTTTATTTCTTCATTTATCTACTCTGTCTTTTCAGAAAGGATTTGAGAGAGATGACACTGTTGTTACTGTTCCTGAGCTATGGCTTCTGCCTTCATACTGCGTAAGCCCAGGAGATTGAGGAGGATGGCGTGGGCTGGAGGTAGACTGTGGGAGAAAGCTCTTCCTGTCACCAGATCCCTTTCTTGTCACCAAGTGGCCCAGTTGCAACAGACTCCAGGATGTCCTAGCCAGGGGAATGTTGAAGTTGTTTGTGATTGGGTGATCCCAGGCTTAGCCTGGTGAGTGTAGCTTGTTTGGTAACCACTGTAATAGTAGGTGGTCTTTGATCTAGAGTTTTCATTAGTCCTTTAGTGATTCTTTTTTTGGCAAATTATTTTTTCTGTTGAACTTTTTTGAAAAATGTCATATATATCTTTATTCAATCTATTTTTGTGGTAAAAAAACTCCATTACTTTTTAAGAAGAGAAGAGGATGTTAACATCTGCAGAATAGCTCTTTAAATATATTGTCTTTTTTAATATTCACAAATGCTTGTGAGGTAGAGCTCATTATCCTTTTTTAATAAAATAGATGAAGAAATCTTGGCAGAAGAAAATTATGTGATTTACCTAACAGGGACATTAAGATGTATTTTTTTTTCTACCTATGAACTCATTCTACTATTACATATGCAAATATTGAGATAGATTGGACTGCAGCTCTGACACTCATGGCCTTTAAACAAAAAGAACTCATAGTATAGTTTTAGAATTTGAGGCTGTTGTGGAAAATGCCAATATTTCAGCCAAGCAGAGAAAGGCAGCTCAGCTTCCTGGGCTCTAGGGGGATGCTCCGAGCATTGCTATGTTGTTGATACATGTATCTGTGACTTGTTTTTTGTAATTTGAAACCTGTTTGTAGAAGAATATCAAGACACTGGTATTCCTCACTAATATTAGCATTACCAAGTCACCTTACTGTATAAACATCTGTTTAAATATTGATTTGTCGAGGGGCACCATGGGGGTTAACAAAGGGGTTTCTTAGCTCCTTTTCTGATTTAGACAGATACAATTCTATTGCTAAATTCTGACTTAGATGGTACATTATTCACGCTATCTAGAATGTGATTTTCGAAGAGTTGCTTGTACTTAGGAAGAATCAAGTTAGTCTCTGATGGTATTTAAGGGGCTGCAGAAGTAAACTAGTTCCTCCAGTGTCGGGAAACTGTGAGTCATCTCAACTCTTCATGCTTTCTGACTCTGAATGAAGAAGGGCAATGTTCACATAGAAACCGTATAATTTGTCACATTAAGAACAGACTGATCCTGTTCTAATGCACTTGCAGAGCTCCAGATAGCCTTATATAAGGAGAATTTTTCAGAAATTAATAAAATGAAGTTCAGCCTTAAGGAATGTGACTAATATATCTGAGATGAGTGACTCAAACACTAGAAGAGGGAGATACTTGCAGTTTTAGCATTAAACAATTTTGATTTACTTGAGATTTTTTTTTAAATCATCAGAACTCATTGTTTTCATATTCGAGACATGAGAAAAGTTCTTCATTTTGTAGATTTAAAAGAAACTCGCTGGATAGAAATAGACCAAAAATTTAGTTTTTGGATGATAATATTTTAGTAGTACTATCTCATAAAGAGTAAATACTTGATGGAATTATTTGTATGTTGACTTCAATGCATGATTTTAACTCCATGATCATTTCTCAAGATAATTTTCTAATGTCCACATTTCCCTGAGGGCTTATCGCCACTCCCAGACATATCTGTGTGTGATTAGGTCTGCAGGCCTGTGGGGACAAGTGCATGCACAAGTACATATACAGGTAATAGGAGCCCTTGAGGGATGTCAGATGTGCTGAACATTGGAAATGGGAAATGTTCTGTTTGATGACCTTTGCCAAATTACAAAGTGCAAACTGGCAAAGTGAGTTTCATCACTCAGAATCACAGTTTTGGAGATGGCAGAGATACATAATTACCTAGTTAAATTCCTCATCATATCAAGAAATAAAATGAGGTGGCCGTGTGCTGTGGCTCATGCCTGTATTCCCACTACCTTGGGAGGCTGAGGCGGGTGGATCACCTGAGATCAGGAGTTTGAGACCAGCCTGACCAAGATGGTGAAACCTGT